TGATTACTACGTAATTTGGATCAATAATATATTGAAATTTTATGCAGCTTTGTGCAAACTTTCCCGTTTAAAGTTTAAGATTGGGATATATTTTTTTAATATAAAAACAACAAAAAAAAAAAAACAATTTTTGTCTATCAAAGATCGAGCTCCATCAGTTGCTACACTTGCCATCTTTTTTCAAGCATACCGGACAGTCAACACAGTTTTTCATAGTATTGAATAAATACTGATCTGAGATTGTCTTGAATTGAGTGAATTAAAGTATAACCAATAAGCATAATCTTCGTTTACTTGAAACTTTTTATAATGAGTCAGTTTCAATAATTTATATAGGAATTATTTTTTATATATTTGCATTTTAATCTGTATATTCCGTGGGCACACCTAATTTCAGTAGGTGTCGGCGGGCCGCATAATACACTCCGCCGGGCCGCATGTGGCCCGCGGACCGTAATTTGCCCACCCCTGCCTAAATCAATTCCATCACTTTAACATATTTCTTAGTCTGTTGAACCGTTGAAGCACCATCTGTTGACCCTTTCTCTAATCATCCGTGTCCCTTGCTATGGATAGAATTTCTCGCATTGACAGGCCTGTCCATTCTTTTAAATTGTCTTCCCATCTCTGAAAGAACGCCATTGCGAGCCCTTATTATATGGCTAATAACAGAAAACTGAAGTACTTCAAGGAACAAGGAAGTACAACATTATTCAAAAGGTCCTTTTTTAATAGTATGAATAATGAGCTTTAGGTCAGGAGAATGCGTTTCTGCATTGAAGAATGCAAGAAACCGCTTTTGGCGTCGGGGCGACCTCCATTGATGAATAATGAGCTGTAGATGACAGGAGAATGCGTTTCTGCAATGAAGAATGCAAGAAAACGCTTTTGGCGTCGGGGCTTCGCTCGAACTCCATGATAAATAATTAGATGTACTTGTCAGGAAAATGCGTTTCTGCAGTGAAGAATGCAAGAAGACGCTTTTGGCGTCGGGGCTTAGCCCCGAACTCCACTGATGAATAATGAGCTGTACTTGTCAGGAGAATGCGTTTCTGCTGTGAAGAATGCAAGAAAACGCTTTTGTCGTCGGGGCTTCGCTCCAAACTCCATTGAAGTATAATGAGCTGTAGATGTCAGGAGAATGCGTTTCAGCAGTGAAAAAAGCAAGAAAACGCTTTTCCCCACTATGGAACCTTATAGTTCTGCCCCAGTTGTTTTGTTTTTCGCCGAAGGTTGAGAAATGCTGCTTTTTTTATTCTCATATATATATATATATATGTATATATATGTATATATATATATATATGTTTTTATATGTATATATATATATATATATATATATGTATGTGTATGTGTGGGTGTGTGTGTGCGGGTGTGTGGGTGGGTGTGTGGGTGGGTGTGTGCATGCCTTGTAGACTTCCATTTTGGTCACTGTAGTGAGCTTCTGGTTTTCCCAAACTCTTGACCTGAATCTAGCGAAGGTCGAGGCAGCCTTCCCTAGGCGTTTTTATTTTAAATCTTCTCTTCTAGAGACATCTTGAACTGTGGATCCCAGATAGCAGAATTCATTTACAGCATCCAGCTTGTTATCGTCTATGAGGATGGTGCTGTAGCAGGTGATCCCATAACATTTGTTTTCTTCATGCTAATAGTTAAGCCATACTGCTTACAGGCTTGAAAGAAGCAGGACATTAGTAACTGAAGCCTAGCCCAGGGACACTGGCGGATCCGGGGGGGGGGGCTGTAGGGGCGAGTTCGCCCCGAACTCCATTAAAGTATAATGAGATGTAGATGTCAGGAGAATGCGTTTCAGCAGTGAAAAAAGCAAGAAAACGCTTTTTGTCGCAGGGGCTTCGCCCCGAATCCCGCTAGAGAACCTTATAGCGCTGCCCCAGTTGTTTTGTTTTTCGCCGAAGGTTGAGAAATGCTGCTTTTTTTATTCTCATATATATATATATATATATATGTGTATATGTGTGTGTGTGTGTGTGTGGGTGGGTGGGTGTGTTTGTGTGCGCGCGCTGTACGCACGTTTATGCATAGGGTTAGGGTTTACTTGGCGTTAGGGTTAGGGTTTGGAAAAAAATCGCCCCCTCCCCACTCCAAAGTTCTGGATCCGCTAGTGCCCAGGGGTCGGCAGCCTTTTGAGTAGGAAGAGCCAAAAACTACAATTTACAAAATTTCGAAGTTTTTAAAGAGCCACAAAGTTTTTTCTTGCCAACTCACACAATGATTCTTTTAAATGAAAAAAACGAATTCATATACAACAACAGATATATATATATAGTTAGTTGCCCGTACTCAGTGATTAGCTGCCGGTACTCAGTAGTTGATTTTAACTACTAAAAACTAATAATATACGTTAAAATACAAGAAAGTAATATTTTTTCAAAAACTTGCCGGTACGCCTTACCGGTGCTTACCGTCACAAAAAAGCCATATATAATCATATATACATATATTTACAGATAGATATGGCTTTATTAGATAATCAATTTTCTTCGGTAAAAATTAAGGAATTGAATATGTACATTCTTCAATAAGAAACATGAAGTAAACTGATATAATAATGTGGTTTCCTCTAAATGGTTTTAGAGAATTTGAATACATTTGGCTCATATGGTAACGTTTTTAATTTCAAACACGAATCTTAATTTTCATTATATAGTTGGCTTCTTACTTTACTTTCAATTATATTCATGCAAGAGAACATTGCTAGCACGCATATGTCGCTCCAAGATAGTCAGCACTCCAAATGCCAACATCTTCACCTCACTGTAGCAATCTGTGTTGCGTTCCGGTGTGTACATTTCTGGACCTCCAACACTCCAACTTGCTTTTCAACTTTGCAAATTTTCCACCCCACAAACCTTTACTTTTAAATAGATCTATTGCATGTCCAGAGATCCAGTATCAATTACAAATATATCAGTGTGGATTTCATTACTATTTGTGTTGAGATTGTGTACTAGAAATGCTAGAATAGTTTTGTTGGTTTTGATCTGCTCAAATCTATCAAGAAATTCATCTTTGATTTTTCATAATTCTGCTGAAGTAATTCTTGTCAAAAGTTGCACTAATTGCGATACTGATTTAGACATTCAAAATGAAGTAATTTACCCCTCTGAATATCTTCTGCAAAAGGAATTTTTTTTTCTTCAAAACAAACCCATTCGTCTACCAAAACATAGGCTGGGTTTTCCTTTTCCTGTAGTTTTAGAATCAACTCATTTCATTTCTCTGTTATATTGATCAAAAAGTAAACTTTTGCAACTATTTGTCGTTCTCTAATTCAGTGTTATAAATGCATTTTTCATTTGAAATGTATTTATTTCATTCAAGCACAAAGCAAAACTTTCAACAGCTTACCTTTGGAAAGTCATAGCACTTTTTGGGAAGAAGAAGGTCGGAATACTGAGTCTCCATTTCGTTTAAGTGGTAGAGTGCTTTTGACAAGATGCTGTTGATAATCTTGATTACCAGATTCATGACCTCAACTATTTCGGTCGGAATCGTTTTGGGCACAAAGCGCTTCTTGACAGGAATTTCATGGTTTATTTTGCTTCGACAAATCGTTGTTGCCCTTTTATTTTTTTTCCTGTCATACTTCTGGATCTATCAGTTGCTATTGAAATGATTTTATTTAAATCGATCTTATTGTTTTCAAGGTATTTTTGCACGGCATTCGCTCTATCGTTCTTTCTAATTTGTCATGACAGCGGTCGCAATCCTTGGGAAGACATATACCTGACAAAATGGGCAACTTGTGCCGTGTCTTTATTTCGCAAGACTAATCTATAAAAAGAAGAAAGTTGAATATCACCAGCAAATAGTTTACATATGAAGATATTTTAGCTATTCTATTTAGTACTGTCTTAGCGGATAGTGGCAAATAGTTATTTTTTTCTTCAAGATTTCTGGTTTGTTTTTGAAATCACGAAACAGTTCTTCAAATGCACGTAGGAAGCAGTCTTTACTTATCATCTGTATTATAGTTTGCCTTTTTGTGCAATATCTAGTGGTCCTCAAAGCTTGCCAGAATAGTGTTATTTGTAGATTGCTTCTAACTTTGAGAAGAGAATTCGCTTCTAACTCATTTTTTTAAAATAAACAACTAACAGTCTAAGCTCGTGGTTAAGATGTCGATTCGTCTTGCGTCAAAGCGAATTAAAACTTCATAGAAATATCCGAAGACGGCGCCATTCCGGAGCTTCCGACGGATTGACAACAGTGATGACGCGTGTAATGAGGGTGGGGTGTGGTGAAAATCGAGTACAAGTGGCTGAGAGATCGAATCGGCGACTAATCTTCGTTAAAAGATTCAGAACTATTTTTAAAAATGTTTCGATAAAATAAATTACATTTGCATAGGGAACTAAAGAGCCGCAGGTTGCCGACCCCGGGCCTAGCCTAACGGATGTTGTACAAGCGATCTTGGACCTCATTCATCAATTGTAAACAAACACCAATGGGTCAAGCTTCCTATCTGTTTGATACAGTTAGCGAATCAAAAATACTTACGTCCATTCCACATTTAAAAATTGATGTGGCGTTACATAATATCAGAACGTTCTCTAGTATAATAATGGTAAATAAAATATGCATAAGAATCACATGCACTATGGAACATTTCCTTCCGCTCTTTTTTTTTTTTATACTATAAAAAATGTAAAAAAAAAAATTCCGAAGGAAACAAGTATTGGTGACAACAGTACTTATGCAAACTGCAAACTATCATGAAATAGGATTTTAAAAAAAAGATATTTTCTAGTTTGTGAGACGGCCGATTGAACGGCAAGATTACATAAAACTAAAACCGGCTTTTGTCCCTTTTGTTAGCGGTTACTAAAGTGAGAGTTACTAACTGATGCAGCTTATCAGTACAGAAAATAATTTTATTTCAATACCCACCATTACAGATTTCGTTTTCTATTTGAAACGTTGTAAAGCTAGAAAAAAAGTATGAAGCTCTTATTTTTAGATTTAGAAGAAACAAATTTCATTGTCGTCAGGATTCGAATCTGCGCAAGAAGAATCCCAATGGATTTCTAGTCCATTGCCTTAACCACTTGGCCACGACAACCACAAAAGTGATTGTTTAAGTTACGTATTAACGCCCACATTTTGTGATATTTATTTTTTAAAATAGTCAGTCATTGTTTTCGTTATCTAACAAGTTAAATATCATATAGAGATAAACATTTTGATTAATAAAAAAAACAAAAAACAAAAATGCCACATTACATGTAGGAAAACAGTATGACTGTATGATCTTCATTACTGAATTTTCCATTACTTATGTTAGTTTGTTACTTTAAAATGCTTCTTTTCGCCTAGTGCTATTATTTGAGCATGGGATGGGTTGCCTGAATCATCCATCGAAAGCAACGACTTGTCAGAGTTTAAGTCATTGATAAACATGCATGACTAGATTGACGCAAGGATACCAGTAGGACGTAATCATGTTCTTCTCATTTAAAGTAACGTCTGTAGTTTATGAGATTATAACAAAACTAGCCGACCCGAGGCGTAGCATACACCGCTATTAGGTGACGGATGAAAACTTCCCGAAAGACACAGATGTCCAAATGTGGTGGTTTTTGGGCAAACAACTGTGTGTGCATGCCTGGAGAGCGAGGAAGGCTCGGGTGCTGGCGGAAAGGAGAGAAGAGTCTAATTGAGTAGGGCGTATGTGCGTGTTGTCTCGCATGGTTGGGCGACGTAGAAACTTGTTCTCTCCCCCCCCCTCCTTTTTTTTTAGGCGCTGCACTTTCTGTCGCCTTGATAGTTATCTGGGGTATCTCTAGTCCGACTTGCAGAAATAAAAGAAATGACTTTTTCATCGAAGGTTAGAGAGTCGGCGTGCGTGCGTGGTGTCCCGCATGCTTGTCGACGTAGAGAATTATATTTACAAACAAGGCCTATCCAGACGTTATTATCAATTACGTAAAGGGAACAAACTAGATTAAACTAATATCTAGAATGTCAAACATTTTCTGATTCATTTCCTCCATAGAATTCTTGGTGAGAGCATTCCCATTAAAAACATTTAAAAAAAAACAAAACTAACCATCCATACCAGAGTTCCATGAGTCGCTTTAACTAAGAAAAGTTATAGAAGAATGTCACCTTCCCGAAAGGGCTGTTTTAAATCGTGCGGTTTGCGTGCTTGACTGTCGTTTGGACTTATAGATGGTCCCTGGCTCAAAACCTGCTCGCTTCAGTCCACCGTCGTCCTGCTGGAGGTTTGGATTAGGAACTCAATTATTTTCATCCGAAACATGTAAAACAATTTACAAACAAATATTGAATATTTGGAGGCCCCGAGGCAGGATTTTTATGGAGGCTACCTATTACTATATAAGTCTAAATGTATTGTAACCGACAAACTCAGAAAGCAAGATCTGAAATTTGTACTATAATTTTTAATTTATTTTACATAAAAATAAGTTTAAAAAAATAGCTTGTGCAAGTTAAATTTTTAGCGGCCACCGTAAGGGGAAAAAGCCGTTATTAGGTTTGTGCAAAATGTCCATCTGTCCGTCTGTCACACTCAGATCTCGAAAACTAGAAGAGATATGAAAAATATTTCATCATTAAATGCGGCTTGAAAAGTTAAGGTGCAACGGCTACTTTTAGTTTTCTAAAAGCAAACCGTTTAATTTATAAAATTAATTATTCAAGCGATTTTTTCATAAAAATACACCAATTCTAGAACAATTACAGAAATGTAAGGGAGGCAATATTACAATATGCTAACAAAGATGGGTAATTGTTGAGTATTTTCAGTATCACTAAGTCAAATATATTTATAAAATGTACAGGAAATGTTTACAACAAATAGAAATAATAGTTAAAGATGTTTTTTTCTGGTCAACTAGCTGCTAAAATTAAAAGAAAGCATTTCTGTTTGTTTATAAAGGCTAATGATGCACTTTGTATGTAAATATCACGCACATTTTTTTAAATGGACTTTTTATGCAGCGATTTTCGTGCAGTAGCGTAACGTCGCAACATCTGCAGGTACTATACCAATTCCTTAAACTTTTTTAAAAAATCAGATTTTATTTATTTTTTGTTTAGTGCCCCCATCCGAATAAAAGAAGATTATTTTTGTGCGTTTTGTCTGTTGGTCGGTCTATCCGTCACGATTAGATTAACAAATATCACTAAAGGCTATTGTAAATCTGATTTAACCTTTACTTTTTAATTCAGAAATATAGCAATAGTTTCAAGTATCTATAATAGATTGTTCCGGATGTTTTTTGAAAAACAAATCAATGCCAATGAATATTTGTTTGCTCTTTTAACTTATATTAGATTTTATTTCCATGCTTAAACGTCGCAAGAAACACATGATCTTTAATATATTGTTCCGGTTTTTAAATGTAAATAGCATATAAATGCTAAATAAAAATATCTATACTGATTTATATTTCCTTAACTATAAAGTTGTTCCGGATATTGTTTTATACAAAATAAATTATGACAAATGATTGTTTGAAATCGCATAATTGACCAATATTACACTTATATTCCTTGACACTAAGTCACTATAGTTTATTTATGAATATCAATTGTTCCGAATTTTTAACTTAAAACAAATTTATGTCAAATAATTTTATTTTTTTCAAAAATATTGACAATAGGTTGTTCAGGATTTTAAAATAAGAAAGTAATTTACTAGAAACGATGATTGAAAATCCCTTTATAGACTTATTTTACAGTTAATTTTCTTGCCGAAACATAATAAAATTTGCTTAATCAGTAAAGAATGTTCCGGATTTTGTTTCGAAAAAGACATCGACCTACATTACCTTAATTTTCTTACAAATCGTCGCCAAAAATGATCCGAATTTTATATGAAAAATCAAATAACGCTAATAAATGTTTGAAATACCTCTACTAATAAATAAAACAAATAATTTTCTCATTTACGAAAATTGGTTATTCCGGCTTTTTTTATGAAAAATAGTTTAACTCTATTTATGTAAAATTGCACTTCTCTCTTACACTACATTTAACTTTCTAGCTAAAACGTTAGGAAATCTAATTATCGTTAATATTATGATCCGATTTTTAAGGAAAACAACTTCCTAACACCAAAATATGGTTTGAAAAAAACTCCACAAGGCTATGGACATCTAATTTTCATAACTGACCATCCCACAAATTTAATTAACGGCATTTGATTAATCTGGAATTCTTATTTTCTCTCACTATAAATATATAAATATCCGGAACAAACTATCATAGAAACTTAAAACTAATGCGATGTTTCGGAAGGGAAATTAAATTTTAATCAGATTTTCAATAGCTTTTAGTCTTTTTTTCTCTCGCTATTAACATAACGGACAGACAGACTGACAGACAAAAAAAAACGTCTTTAATCCTTTTATAAATATATATATATATATATGTATGTATATATATATATATATATATATATATATATATATATATATGTATATATATTAAGTCTAACTAGCCCATCAAATGAAATGCTAAACGATCTCACTCGGTGCACCAATGTCTATGAACCCTCGACAAGCTGCTCGTATAGAAGACATTTTTTAGCTAGGATGTGTGACGTAATGGAATATTTTTCCTTAGACGTCATATGGAGTTAATTCTTTAAATGAAATGCTAAAAGAAATCACTCGGTGCACCAATGTTTGTTTGTTTGTAAAATGTTTTACATGTTTCGGATGTTCCTTCAGAGTTGAAAATAGTTTACTTCCTATTCCAAATCTCCCGCAGGACGACGGGGGATGGGAGCGGGCAGGGTTTGAACCCGGGACCATCGATAAATCTGAACGACAGTCCAGGTGCAAACCGCACGACCAGATTATCTAAAATCGCTCTTCTGACATATTGTACATATCCGGTAGTTGTCATTCCGTAATGTGTAGGTATATTATCAATAAGAGGGTATTAGGTTGTAACCAGTTTGTCATTAGATTAACAGCAACGCCTGGTCGTGCGGGTAGCGCGCAGGACTGATTATCTCTAAGGTCTCGGTTTCATACCCTGTTCGATGCCATCCTCAGTCGATCAGTGAATATGCGGATTCGACAGGGATCCGTCTCCCACTGGGGCCGCCTGTGGATATGTATGGCAATCTTGTTTAAATTACTTTAGTTAAGTCATGTCATTAAATGTGTAACAGATCTAGACCAACAACAATGAATCTGTGCGATTAGAAATATTTTTACCGATTGTATTTTGTTCTTTTTTGTTGTTGTTGTGTAGCGCAGTCCCGTACTTTTAGCTATCTCTATGAGCTAGGATCCTATCACTTGTCTGGATCAGTTTGGAAAGGGGTGGGGGGAGAAAGAAGGGGGTATATGTGAATATTACCGTATTCTTTTTTTTTTTAAAATCCTTATATAGTGCTTATGAAAATAGAAGGTTATCTATTGTAAGTTTCAAACTTTAAAATGGCGATCTAGTCTCTATAAAGTGTAAAGGGCACTAATTCAACTTATACCACTACATCAGTCAAGAACACCTACTTTCTTTTGTGCGATACTGATAAATATTAAATATTACGCAAAATGCGGGGCCCCCATAGAGGTCAATACCCCGGACCCCAAAATGATGGAAAATTCTTAGCTACGCCGCTGACCTATGACCTGTGATAAACATTCCATTCTGTGATACAATGTGGACCTTCAAAACGTAAGCCCTTTGTGCAAGAAATCCGTATTTTCAAAAGAAAGAGTTGGACAAAAAATCGATTGTAAAAATCAAAACATACAAGACACATCATCTCATCTGTCCCTTGACTTTTGTTGTCCTTGGGCTTGCTGGGACAGTGCGTGTAAAAAAAAATCCCTCCATTGTTCCAGGATATCAAGAGAGAGGCCGAGCCATTCTTTTACGTTGTCCAGCCAGCTTGTCTTTGGATGAACATTTCTTCGTGCTGCCTCTACTGTGCGTCAAATAACGACTTTTGATATGAGTCTTACAAAATGACCAAACTTTCTCAGCTTTCGTTTTTTAAATACTATGGCCAGCCAGAATGTTGCTGACTAGCAAAAGTATAAAATTATTTTTCCTGGTATCTTACACCCAGCATTT